AGAATGTGAACATTTAAACATGGGAATCAATGTTTCTCATAGTTATTCTGTGTCTTTCTCCCATGCAGCATTTTTTGTTGTTTACCGTGTCATTAAGGAGCAGGACAGTCATTTTCTGGGCCTGAAGTTGAAATGCAGAAACCTTTAAATAACAATCAGGATTTCTCCTTTCTTAGAGTGAGTTAAAAGGTCATCCACTACTTAAGGCCATCTCTGTCAAATTAGCACTAGTCAGCTTCCATCCCTGTGTCAAGTGAGGTTTTTAGAATAAAACTGATCTTCTCCTAAAGCACATACCTGTGGGTATTAAAGAAAGATGCTATGATATTCTGTATCAAAAAGGTTAAATTCATAGGATTATATGTAAACATTCATTTTACCCTGGCTAACCTGTGAAGATTTCATTTTGCTTCATTTATCTTCTCTCTTACCCTATGCTAAACCATCCCTGGCTTCGATGAAAGAATCATGTCTCCATTCATTTCCTATCTTGCTGAATTGCCTTCGCATTTCCTATCATCTGCACATAATCCTATTCTCTCCATTATTGTCTTAATACCAAGTACAGCACAAGATAATGGATAGGCACTGTAATAACAGTGTGGCCTGTAGGAGCCCCTCGAGGGAAATATCTTTGACGCTGGTTGAATATTAATGTATCCCAGGTCCCTGATCTTCCTCTTTCACTTCATCTCCTGTTTTCTAAACTACATAATGACTTTCATATACATGACAAAAGCATTAGAACAGAAGAAAACTCATTGATGAGCAGCAGGGTTGTGTGATATTAAGAAGTACTATTCTCAGTTCTTTGTACGATTTTTGACCACCATCAGAGACTGTGTATGCAGGTAATTTCTGATTTGAATGATACAGGCATAAAGAAACATTATCATACTCTGTTAATCCAAATGCCCATCACAGGCACTGCATGAAAATAAATTAAAATGTAATTCTTCAATAATGCATCTGTCTACAGGATGATTTTCAGCAGATTAAAAACAAACAACTTGATATCACTTAGACTAGCTGGTGGATTGTTTCTGAGAAGCTTAATCATCAACAGATTATGAATGGAACAATAAATGAAAGAAGAGTATGTTAAACCATATAGATTGAGTTGTAGCTACAATTTACTGTACATAATTTTTTAATAAAAGAGGAAGAATTGATTTTTGTTAGCATAAGCATTGAATCCTATGAGACTTTAACTGGTATTGCAGAAACAGGGAATAACAAAGGTATTCTTCCCCTTATGCAGTAGCAATAATCTTTTTTGTTTCTTTTAGAAGACACAGAAGTTGGTTTCCAGTGGCTTTTCCATGTATGCAATATTATTCCCCTTTCATTTTTCTTTCTTTTCTTTTTTGACAGAGCCCCCCCCTTTTTTTGACTAGCCCCCTTCTAGTACAGAAGCTGGCAGGTAGGAAAGTCTTTCCAGAAACTGTACATAAGGATTGTTTAGGATGCTAGATAACTAGGGAGTAGCCAAAAAAATCCAAAATAAAACTGACAAGCTTACTTACCCACATGAATTCTCTTAATTAAATTCTAAACATGGAGGGCTACTTGCAAACTTCACCAACTGCTTGTTAGTGAACCCTATGACTTACAGGGTTCTGCAAAAGTCACGTCTGCCTGCCTGATGTCAGCCGTATTAGAAGCAACACAGCTATTGACCATCAATCATTATAGATAGTATCTGAGAAGAAATGATTTCAAATAGAGGCAGCTGAGAAAAGAATACAGGGAATGCAGAGGGGGATAAGGAGGGAGAGAAGAGTCTGGGAGAACTTAGATCAAAAGCAAATAAAAGACACTTAAAATAACAATAAAATGAATTTGAAGCAAACAGCAGAGTCAGTGGTGTAAAAGTTTGTTTGAAAAGGCACAGACTGACATGAATAGAGAAAACCACCATAAATATGCACAGACAGTCTATGCGTCAAGATAGTACTGAAGCTTTTCTCTCTTCATTGGTAAATTCCACATCTCCCAGTGAACGGATACTGCCTAAGTATTGTTCCTTTTCAAGATCAGTGCTAGGTCCTAAATCCAGTTAGCAAGGGGCATTGGTGAGTCCAAGAAAATGCCACACCAAGGGGAGTCGCTGAAGTCACATTAAAAATAAATCTGCCCAAAGAGAAATACAGGAGACAGTCAGACTATGCCTGTGACTACATTGTTTTGTAAGATAATTCATTTGCTGTTTTACATGTTTATAATGTTCTATTTCAAAAATATGTGGACTTGAGGAGTAGTTTAATATTAAATTACAGGCTCTTGCATTTTAAACCAAGCTTGCTAAGGGTAAAAATTAGTATGCAACTACAAGGCATTGCACTGTACACCAGATATCAGAAGCTGTCCCTCTAAAATACTGTTAAGAAAAGTGTTGCCAAGTCCTGTTGCTTTCATTATAAATGTGATGTTTTTATTTCACATGTGTTTGCTTGCCAAGAAAAAGTGACATCCTTTGTAACCCTGGTAGCGTGGGAACCTGGTGTAAGATACTACAGACAAAAAAAAAAAAAAAAAAAAAAAAAAAGCGGGGGGAGAGAGGAGAGGGAAACTCACTTTATTTTTAAAACTCACTCAGAAACTGTGGAGTCTAAATTTAGAGCATTTTTCTAAAGCTTTGAGATCAGTTTCAGTTGTCTCTTGAAAAATGCAAGTCCTGGACTACTGTTTGTATTATTCTTGTTTGTTACATGTTAGCAATGTAATTGCCCCAGAAGTGAGGAAACAAGTTATGGGCTGCTGCTGATCAAAAGGATGAGCACACTGCTGCCCAAAGCAGGCTGCTACATGGAGTCAATTACCTAGTGAAAAGAAATGTCCAAGAGGGTTAGTGTGAAATTGTACAAATAGCTTATATCTGGCATTCAAGAACTAGATACTTCCTTCCAACTGAAGAAGATTCTTGTCTATTGTATAAACATTTTGTAATTTTGCCAGATGCTGTTGTGACCTAGGGACCTCTTGGATGTTTATCATCAATCTGTTTACATGGAACTTGAGTATTGTCTGGCTCACAATAGGTAGCCATTAGCCTTTTAAGTCAAATACTAATGAAAAGCTGATGGAGACTTCAGAAGGAAACTACAGGAAGAGATAAACCTTGGGAGAGAAGGGGAACCCTATCTTGATGTGCACATCAAAAGTTTGTTCTGTGTATTTGGGGGGGGGGGGGCAAGGAGGGCACTCTGGCATCTTGTACCTGGAATGTAAGCAGATCAGAGTTTGCATCATGAAAAAGGGATTGCAGCCAAGGCTTGGTTAAAAATGCTAGAGAGAACTTTGGGTGAGAGAGACTTCTCTAAGAGGATAACTTGTAAGTTAGGTTTAGTCTCTAGAAATGGGGTTGATTTTTTCATGCATAACCATTTGTTTCCAATATTCTTACTCACTGTCATTTGAATGTCTGTTCTTCGATAATAATTATTCTTGTTTCCACTACAAATAAATCTAAATGCTGCCTGTTTGGCAGCACTGTATCCTAAGGTATAATTGATAAGGCATGCTGGACTTGCAGACCTGTTAAGTCTGAGAGTGTCCAGTAAGGCAGGGTTGGACACTATAAGGAATGTTCAGCAGACTCCAGGGTCAGTGGATACTTATCACTAAGCTGCACACAGAGAATGAAGCCTATGCAAGCCTGAAAGATAGTAAGTGTGTTACCAGAGGTTGATGGTTTAAGGGAGCTGATCCGAAAAAGGCACAGTAAAGGATGGTAGTGAGGGGGCCTCCCAATCCTTGTTAATATGATGCTTCCTATCAACAGTTCCTATTATTTCATATCACTTTCATTTTTCAGTTTACAATAGACCTCTCGTGAGTACAAGGGTTAGGAAGAAGCTTCTTGTAACCTCTTGCAGCTCCATATGGATCTTATATGTGTATTCGGAGGCCTGGCACAACTTGGCTCTTACTGTTTCATTTGCATATACTATATCTACTCCACCTGTATTAATGCTATTAATTATTATTTGTAGTATGCATGGGGAGGCCTAACATTATCTGAAACAGAAGCCCCCTTGGTATCTTTTCCCTTCCCTCCCCCTGGTGGAGGTGGAAGTTTAGAAGACTCAGGACCGGTCTACACTACTGGAGAAAGTCAACCTAAGATATGCAATTCCATCTATGAGACCAGAGTAGCTGGAGTCAACATACCTTAAGTGGAATTTCTGCAGTGGAATTTCTGGAGGAGGTGTGTCCCCGCTGCACTGACAGTGCCCCTGTCAGCCCTGGTACTTCACCGCGTCACTAGGAGTAAGGTAAGTTGATGAGTAAAGTTAATTTACTCCTGGTGACCCAGTGGAGTGTGGGGTTCAATAGGGGAGCCCTCAGCAGTTGATTTAGTGGGGCCTTACTAGACCTGTTAAATCAAACCTCAGGAGATCAATCTCCAGAGTGTCGATCTCAGGATAAGTGAAGACAAGCCCTTAGAAGAGATCTGAGTTTTAGGTGTAGAGCAGGGAAGGGGAAGGACTATATGATGGGAGCCCTGAAATGTAACACTGTACCCATTTAAATGTTTGGTGCGTGATGTGTGTAATAATATATTGTCCCCATATAGTGTTGTGATAATACAGTTGCAGCTTGACACTTAAAATCCATTCCAGTGCCTGCCTGTCTTTCACCTGCATGTTGTGAGCTGAGTATATGACCAGTGTTGCAGATGATTATGATGATGATGTCACCTAGGCTGGGGTAAAAAATGCCAGTTATAATTGAAAACTTTATTTTCAGCTATATTTCATGACATGGGATAATTCAGTGCTGGTGATCCTTTTGAACTGTCAGACTACAAGGCTGAATATTTTCTTTTCCTTTTGAAATTTAGAGTCTTCATTATAAAAGCCTATTGTTATGGAGAAGCATGGACATAGATTACTTTCAGAAACATGCTGCCTTCTCTCTCAACTGTATTATCCTGACTTGCTAATTATTACTAGAATTTTTTTCCCATCCATCTACAGTATTTTACCTATAGTATCCTTTCTAATCACAAAGACTAAGTCATTGCCAACTGAACTGGGCAGGAACCAGGGGTCAGTGACTTATGCATGTCATGTGTGATGTACAGCAGGAAGATCTTGCACGTAGACCTCTAACAATTAGTCACCACTTTATTGTTCAGAAATGGATTTAGGAATTAAAATAACTACAGTTTTAAAGCACTTGGTCAGATTTTTAAAAAAAGATTAGTTTCTGAGTTATATGACTGAAATTAGCAGTTTTTATGGCAAGTGAAACAAATTTTAATGTACAATGCTAGACCTTCTTTAATAGTTTACTGTGCCTCTTCTTTTATAAAAACAGTGGTGAACAGTAAAACACTAAATAAATCATAAGGTTGGTTTTCTCTCCCTATAAAATAGAGAGCTTTTTACTGTTGCCTTTAATTAAATAAGCTCTCTGAAATTATTCGCTACCTATATTTAAAAATAATAATAAAATACATACACACACATGCAGGGTAACAGTTAATTCCTTTTTCAAATATATACTGTGGAAATATCATATCAATTGCTAATCTTAATCCATGCATTGCTTATTTCATGTTTGCATTAAACATTATGGGCCACATCCTCCAACCAGAAAATAACAAAAGGAAACTCAGTTTGGACAAATTCAAGCTAATATATCAGGGAAAATAATCTAAAACACACTCAAGGAGAGGGATAAACGTAGGAAATAGTCACTGCTGAAAAAGACCTTTGGCCAACAAAGTTTTGGGGCAAATACAAAAAGGGCTGTCATGAAGCATAGAGGTGGCTCTGTATATTTCTGGAATCATTGCATCTGGAAGTTGTTCATTTACTTCTGGGCATCATATTGTTAGAAAAGAATAACAGATTGCTGAGAGTTCAGGAAAGAGCAAGAAATGTATGTGGCTAGAGGGAAAAATGAATAAAGTGAGATTAAAATAATGTGGTCATTGCTTAAAAAGTCAGATTTCATGTAGATGCTTTAATTATATTTTATTCTTAGTACAGAGTAAAGCTGCTATGGTACTTACAAATGTTGACTTTTTTAATGGTGGTGACTGTAAATATGTCTAAATTGGTTGAGCTGTAATTAAGGGAGACAGTACCCCACTCTAATATTTTGAAAGCCTCAGATGACCAGGATAGAGAAGTTCTGTTCTTACATTGGCTACATGAGCATCACTAGAAATAATGGGATACAATTATTAAAGTCCTAGACTGAGTGTGTACTGTGTTGTGGAATAGTCTCCCAAGAGAAGTTGTGGAATCCAAATCACTTGGAAATTTTAAATCTAGAGGTGAGAGAGTTAGATTTGACACAACACTGAAAAAATGGACAGTAGGAAATAATCATGCTTTTGCAGGAGATAGATTGGATGATCTGAGTAAATCCTCTTAATTACACCATCCCATGTATTTCCTGGGAACAGAAGCATAATCACTGAATCAATAGACTTTAAATTCTGGACAGGTGTAAACATGACAACATGTTAAGCGAACCAGATACCATGTGGAGCCACCAAACATACTATTGCACGCTACAAAAACTGTTCAAGTTTACACATTGATGCAGTAATGTCAGTTTTTGATTAATTGCTGCAGCTGCATTAATAGGCTTCCCTTGCTTGGTCACAATGTATCCATATTTGGGTTGTATATATGTATGAATGTATAGTCAGCTATTGTAAAAAACTGTTGAATAATTTGTGTTTATGATCAGCTTAATGAATAGCTTATGATTTATTAGGCATAATTCCTGATTGATTTTCCTGCCCTTTTTTAATGGTAATTGCTTGTTCATTTGTCTTCTGAGATTATATGGGCTACAAACTATTTAATTCTAGATCCTTTGTGGTTTTTATCTGCATGTATATGTTTATATACATGTTAAGAATACCATAGTCTATATTTTCTACAGATGCCACATATTAATTTACCATCACCAGTTTCCTCAGTTGTATAAGTTTTTATTCATGTTGCTTACTAGAAATAAACATGTGAATGACATATTGGAAGTGAAACTGCTTTTGATGGATCCATAGTACAATGCACATTTCCCTGTCTACAACATTGGTTCCCTTTCCAAGGCTTTTGTACATAACCAGCCTTATCAAAGTTTCTAGTTTAGTGTAGTCCTTTCTTCAGTGATTATATCAACCTTCCATTCCATCGGAAATACTGATAAAGGCAAGAATATTAATTATTATAGTAGTTTTTTAATTGCTAACCTGGAACATTATAATTTTCTCTTTAATGGAGTTCTAGATTGTGCTATTTGGATATTAAAGGGAATTTAAAAAATGGTCTGATTTTTTTTTTTTTTTTTACTGGTACACAACTCCACACTCACGTTCATGTTGTTCTCATCTCATTTCATAGACTCCCTCCTGGTTAAGCTTTTGATTCTTTTAAAAAATTTGATTGGTCTCATTACAAGGTTCAACATCTCTTTAATCCCACCATCAAATTAATTCTGCTGAAACTGTTAGTATTTTTGTAATGAAACATGAAGATAATTAAAACTCTGCAATTTGTCCTTTTCAGAATTTATGTACTGCTGAACTGTCATGCAAAATTGTACTAGCCCTCAGGCTGTCAAGAGATGCCCTAAAAAGCTTTTATCCCTCATTATCAACTGGAACAATGGCTATGTCTCTAAATAATTTTAGTCAGACAGAAATGTGTGATTCTTGGCTACAAAGCAGGACATCTTATGTGGCATACCCTTCTCAGGAATATGAACTCTTCATGTTTAATGCCCCATTGTTTACAAACCTGAGATCCTCTTATAAACATCCACTTCCTCACTATGCCCTTGAACATCTCCAGAATTTAACATTGTACTATTCTTTAACATGAATACTATATTGTTGCTTTTGTCAGCATTCAGGGCCTTGCTGTTCCTGTCCCCGAAAATAAACTTCTTTTTTCATGTAAAAATTATGAGGCCTGACTATAATTCTTGTACTGCTATCCTCCTCAAAAGAATCCTGCATTGTGTCCCATATAATTTTCATAGCTAACACATTCTTTTCTCAAAAATTCAAAATATAAACACTCTTATAGCACATCTTCTAAATCAATTAAATTACTGAACACAGTATTTAAGGTTTCATGAAAAAAATCACTTTCAAGCAGGCTTTGAACAATATCTGAAACTAGATGGATAGAAATTTGAAACTATGGATAACTGATTATCTTCATAGCTCTAACTACTGTACCATTCATCATTGACTGTGAGAATCTTTACTTTAATGGTGTTTTCTCCTAGTGGGGAAGTTATTGAGTTTTAAAGAAAAGTTGACCATGAGATCATAAAAGAAGCAATATATAGATTTATAAAATGCTGGTTTTTAAAAGAGGGGACTAAAGTAGTCTCAGCAACCATTTAAACACTGTATCTGGAGACACAACATTCTCAAAGGCAAAAGTTGCAAGGAAGTTATTCTCAGATCAAAATTGCCCTTAAATAATTCAAATTACTTGCTTTTAGAGGACAGCTAGTTTGCTAAAAGCAAGTACTAATTTTTGAAGTTTCATATTGTGTTTGCAGTGTGTTGTCTTCTCCCAGTATGCTGTTAAAGCATGTTGTGTCAGACTGTGAGACTCTATCTTTCAGGTAATATACTAGAGGAGGTTATTTAGTACATAATGAAAGCAATGAATAGAAGTAGACAAAGATGTTAGTCAAGTAGCTAGCTTATTGTGGTTCTTTAACTTTTAAAACATATTTGGGAAATCTCTGCCATGTACCCAGCTGGTAGATCTGGATTATATGGAACTTTCCAATGGGACATAAACTGATGTTGGGATTGGGAGTGGGGGAGGGTATGATTGCATTAGCCACAATAACATCCTTCCTTTTTTTATTACAGATAACATTTGTGGAGAACCAACATACAAGACCAAGTAGAAGAATCAAACCAAGTAGAAGAATCTCACAGCAATTCATAGAGATGAGTTCTCAGATTGGTTCTCTTATCATTAAATAAAAGCTTTCTCATAGCAATAAAAAAATGCTAGGCACTACTAGCATAATATATTAGTCGTGCTCAGTTGTGGAAGCGCAGAATTGGTGCGTCTACACTGCACCGTAGTTCAAAATGATACGCAATTTGAGCCTACACAAATTGCATATCTTATTTTGACCTTATTTCAGAATAGCTTATTTTGTCTACACAGAACCAAATTTTGAAATAAACTGCTATTCCAAAACATCTCTTAGTCCTCATGGAATGAGGTTCACAGAGACGTCAGAATAATGAGCACAAAATAACAGGCTTTCTGTTAAGATGTGGCATAGCTATTTCAGATGTAGCCAATGAATGATGTTTGCTTGAGTAGCCAAAATCCAAACTGTATAGAGTTAGTTCATGGGAAATATTCACTGATTTGAATAGGGAGGGGTGAAACTGCAGTGCCCTGGAGATGTTGAACTCTTGTAGCTTCCCAGTGTGCAGGGGAATGAGGAAAGTTGGACCATTCTCTTCCTTTGCCTAACCTAGCTAGGTCCATTAGTTGTTGTTGTGTAAGGACTGTGTTTATGATTCCCCTTAGCCTTGGCATGGGACGTGCGAGAGGATGGGCTTCTTGTATTTGCTTTCACTCCTGTGCACTGGCATTAGGATATGGTTGCAGGAATGTCTCATACAAATTGTTATGTGATCAGATTATATTGTTATACGGATTGGCAACTCATGATATTTTCTCTCTGCCTCTCTGTAAATAATCCATGTATAGGGTATCAACATCACTCGAGTAATCCCATCCTAATAGCTCCGTATCTGACTGAAATCAACAGTACAAGCATCCTACTCATTTCAGTTCTGATGTAGATCATGTTTTTAAGAAGTGTTTTGCAAATACATGTGTGGCAATTGGTCAAACTAAGTATCTTGAGCCATCTGATACATTTCCCCCAATATTCTAA